CTGTCAGTGAGGTTTGGGATTAATTAAAGAAACTTGCCTATAAAAACTCTCAAGTCCCATGTTCCATCTGCTTAATGAGAAACTGTGTGCTATTTAAGAAGGCAGGATGGCACAAGTATCTTAGACTATGTGTATCAAATGCTTGATCCAAGTAAACCATTTTAAAATAATGGTGAAGTTATATAGAAGTTGCTTTTCTTGAGATGTCTGTCTTCTCTGTCCCAATGTTTTACTATGCTGAAGCAAGCAATAGAAAAACTACTTTAGGTGAGATAATATCCAAAATAGAGTGCAGGAATTCCTAATAGGAGAAATTATCTGAGATAATTTGAAAACTGGAGAAAAATCCTGCTTTATTTGCAACAGCATATTAGAGTTGAGGGTTTTACCTGAAAAGGGTCTAACCTCCTAGCCAGCTCTCTAGAATGGAGAGAGTTCTAGCCAAAATTAAGGATTTTTCTCTCAAGGGAAGAAAAAATCGCCAGGACGGGAAAAGGGTGAAGAAGAGAGCAAAGCTAAACCCAAAGGACAAAATAAATAAATAAATAAAAATAGTGCATTCTGTGAAAGAATTACTCAGAGTAAGAAAAATACTGGTAGTTTGAACTCAGTTTATTTACAGCTTCTTTGTTATTTTAAAATAAGGAATTGTTTTGCAACTCCTGAAACAAGCTACAAAGGGCAGATCCAGGACCAAACAGGCAGCAAATAAACTCACAAGAGATTAGGGAGGCTAATAAAATGTAGACTGATGAAAAGACAATCGCTTTGCATGTTGTAGTGTGCTCTCTAGATTTGAGCTCCAAATGATTGAGTGTTAATTATGCAGTCAGAAAGATACATACAGTTTAATTTGCTGATGGAAATTGCTCAGTAAGAACAAGAGATGGGGATATGTTGTTGAAAGGAATATTGTTAGAATCTGAACTTTTCAGAGAAATTCTCTGATAAGAGGCAACCCAACTGAGCTTGAAAAGGAGGAGAGAGAAATTGCACTGAATTTTGGCATAGAAAACTAGAACATCAGAATATAGAGCAAATCAGGCAGATACAAAGCGAAGCATTGACCATCAGTTTCGAAATCATGCACAACAAATGTGCCAATCTGTGCTGCTCTGTACGTTTATATAACTAGTAAATGTCTTCAAGGATCACAGATAACAAAAAATACTGAAAGCACGGGAAATGTTGCATCTCAGCAGTATTCTGAATAAGCAAATCCACATTTGTAATTTTCTTTGATGAAACATCTTGGTTTTGCTGTTTATGTCTGATAGGGCATAAAGATGAAGTGTCACCAATCCAGGCAATTTCTTCTTATATAGAAAATGCTTTTGGAAAAAAAGACAATTTATGTTCTGATAATGGAACTGAATTTACAGATATCTAATTATTTAAAGGAAAATGGGATTATTCATAAGAGATCTGTTCCCTTTGCACTAGAACAAAATGGATCAGCAGAAAGAAAGTATCCTTCTCTATAGGAGTATGATAGTTGACTCAGGCGTGGATCAGAAATGGCGGGAAGAAGCTATTTCTGCTATCTTCCAAACAGGCTAGTCATTAAAGCCAATCCTTATTAGCTATGGTTCAACAGAAAATTTGGTTTAAATCATATTAGAATGTCTGGATCTACAGCATGGGGTTATATTTCTAAAGAGAAAAGAAAGAAACTGAAGTATAGTTGAACAAGGATGGGTATACAGCTGACACAAAAGAATATGGGGATCCTAGATCTGTCCACTGGTAAATGTGACTTACTTTAATGAGAAAATAAAGCCAGCTGGGAATTTGAATTTAGCAGCCAGTAGTATGCCACACTACCACAGTTTTTCCTTGTCTGTGGTTTCAAACCAGCAGTACAGCCTGCTTCAGCACTAGCACTAGCTGAGATGCAGTTCACATATATCTAACAAAGAGACATGCCCCTCCTCCCAGCTAAACCCTTACTTATAGCCAAGAGAAAAGAAATGAAGAGGTAAAGACCTAAAAAGTGCCAATTCATGAAATTGAGTACTGGAAAGCAAGTGAAGAGATGGAAACTCTTTCCAAAAATAACATTTGGCAAGTAGATAAATAACATCTAGTAACAAGAGCCAGTTTGGTCTAATGGTTAAGGCGCCAGCCTCCGGAGACCACGAGTTCTAGTCTGTCTTAGCATGAAAGCCGGCTGGGTGTGTTGGGCCAGTTACTTTCTCTCAGTTCAACCCACCTTACATGGTGGTTGTTGTGGGGAAAATAGGTAGGAAGGAGTATTATGTAATTTGCTGTCTTGAGTTATCTATAAAAATAGAAATAAACTAAACTAAAATACATACATACATACATACATACATACATACATACATACATACATACATACATACATACCTGCCAGAATAAAGGCAATACAATGCAGATGAGGCTTCAAGAACAAATGCAGTGGAAATGGAGGAGTATACCACTACAGAGCGAGAGGGTTGGACTAGGGATAATCTCAGACTAGGGAGAGGACTATGGTGAACTTTGCCTCTATTATGAAGCATACTTTATTTTTTTATTTCATTTGTCAAATTTAGATACCTCCCATCTCACTCACAGTGTGACTTTAGTCAGAATGCTCTTAGGCAGGGTCTTTAAACTTGGCCCTTTTATGACTTGTGGACTTCAACTTCCAGAATTCCTCAGCCAGCATGCTTTAGGCATAGCAGCAGGAGAAACACAGAGGGTGACCAACTGGGTCTAAACACTTACAGGGAGAATTAGAGGGAGAGATTCACATGGAACAGCCCCCAGAATTCTTTCAGAGCCTGATGAGCGAACTACAGAAAAGCTTTTATGAACCAAAACAGGCCGTCAGTGCATGAAATGAGAAACTAAACCAAACATTGCTTAAGGAAGGATTTGAACAAAGCAAGGCTGATCCTGCCTAAACTTGAGATTTATAAGTAATAAAGAGACCTTTATCCTGAATTAATGTAGATGATTTAATAACTTCTTATGAGGATAAACAATAAGAAGATTCTTGGTAGCATTTCCTGTTATAGCTTGAAAAAGATGAATAAGAAAGCTATCTCTTCAACCAGAAAAAGAAAATTGTGGACATTTTAAAATGCCTATGGCTGAGTGACCAATTCAGCCAAAAATCTATGGAGGCTAAATTTCTAAAGAAAGAAGAGCACACCTTATCTGGTATCAGTAAATATACTTGAAAAGCTTGAAAAGCTTCTATGTGTCAACAATAACTAGACCAGATTTGGGTCCAGCAGATGAAGTTACATATCAGAGAACAGATAGTTCTTGACACTACGAACAGGATATACAAGAGCAAGGATTGCAGTACTATCCTGTAGAACAGGGCTTTTCAACCTATGGTACAGGTACACCTTTGGAACATTGGCACCTGGCAGGTGGTATGTGACCATCCTAGAAAAGTGGTAGTGGGGGAGGGGAATGAGCTGAACCGATGGCAGCACCGCACAAGCCTGAGCGAGAGATGGCTGGAGCTGCAGGGCTGTCAGCGGAAGCACCAGGATCAGCGCTGCTTCGGGGCTGTCTGGGCTCAGTGGAAGCGCCAGGATCAGTGCCGGGCTCCAGCTGGAGCTCAGCACTGATCCTGGTGCTTTTGTTGAGGCCAGAAGAAGCGCCAATCAGCTGGAATGTTGCAGCATCTCCAGGGTCTTGTGATTTACATTCAGATGCTTGGCAACTGATTCATATTTATGACAGTCACAGTGTCCCAGGGTCATGTGAAGTGACCAAAACCTGCTGCAACCACCCAGCAGACGGGGGGGGAATAAAAACCAAACACACTCCACCCCACCCCCGCTACCAATCCTCCACAGAAATGCTCACAACAATGAAAACCTTGGACAGGAGGAAGAGCACCACTAGGTGGGCAGGCAGGTGTCTTGCTCGGCTGTGGCTTGGGGGGCATTTTTTTCAGTGCCATTGTAATTTTGAACAGTCACTAAGAGAACTGTTGTAAGTCGAGGACTACCTGTATTTTATCACTTTTTTCCTTTTGGGGGGGTCGTCAAGTTTTTGACACCTTTCTAGACAACTGGTGGTACTCGGATGTTGCCATATCCCAAAAGTGGTACAATGGGTGAAAAGGTTGAAAAGCCCTGCTGTAGAACAATTTATCGCTGATAAATTGCCAACCAAGCCACAACCCCAAGATTCATTCTAGAGAGATAGAATAGAGAATGTGTGTCCCAGAAGATGAGAAGGGGTGTTGGAGATTGCATTATCTCTTTCCATCTATGAACCTTTGGACCACTAAAGCTAATGGCAAGAGATACAGTCATGCAAAAATATTGACAATTCAAATGGGCTCACAAACTTTTAAGCACATACTGTGTATGTCCTGTCTCTCATATAGTTAGAAAATTAAGACTCTTATGTTTAACAGACTAGGGAACTACTTGTTTTCTCCCTCTTGCCTGTCACTCTCTTGAAGCTATAGTTTAAATAGAAGAGAGATACAGTATAGATAGAAATGCTATCTTGCATATGTATTAATATGATGAATATATATTAGTATTTATTCACAGCTGTTCTAGGACTTTACTCTGCATCAAAGGCAATTTTTTTAAATGGGACCTGCTGCTAATTACTTGGGATTCTGTACACATGTTTACAAGCACATCCTGAACTCCTATTAAAGAGTCCCTACTGAATTCAAATCTCCAAATGAAATATATAAAGAAATATGCTATGTTTGGTCTAATACGGTTAAGCAATGAATTGAAGTACATTTGTCCACGTCCTTGATTATCAGGAACTTGTGCATAACAATTCTATTCTGTATCCCCAATGTGCCCTTTAGCACATGGAATGCAACATGATCAATGCTTTTATAAAGTTGATTAATAAGAAACCTTTACATTGCAGAGAATACAGGCTGCATCAGAAGTGCCTATTGTGCAATATGTATTTGATACCTATTTGTCTTAGGGATCATATCAACAATTCATGTGTCTCTAACAGCCAGTATTCACAAAGTCTTTTTGTTGCAGGTCAGGTGAAAATGAGCTGCAAGTAGAGGACATAGCTCAGTATATTTATTCTGAAGGTAAGTTGCTTCCTGGATCTTCTTTGTCTGGCATTTGAGGGCAAAGAAGAAAATGTCGCTGTGATCAATACAGATAAAGTAAATAATTCTATTGAACATTTGAAGCTGCCTCTGCATTGGGACAGGATATTGGATTAAATGAAGCTTTTGGATTAGATCCAGGAGAGCTTTTATTTTGTTATGTTTACTAAACTGGGAAAAGATCTTCAATTCCTCTTCTAGAGTTTTTTAAAATTAGGAATGTTACAACAGATCATCCATTCACAGTTCCATTCAAATTTACATGTGTACAGATGGATGCCAGAATGTAATTTTGCCAGCGGCATGGAATGCACTCAGCAGATACATATAAACAGAAAGAGGAACAGTTAAAGTTAGAGTATTAGCTTAATGACCGTTGAGTTTAATATATAATATAGACATGTTCCAGCCACAAAAGAGAAAAAATGTTTGGAGAGTAGAAAAAGCAGCATTTGCCAAACATGGAAAGAATGTGTATTTAACTGTATACGCCTTTGGATTACAAACCTGATCATTAAAAGCCAAATATTAGATGAGTAAAAAACTGCTTAAAACTCATTAAAATATATGAAAAACTTAAATAAAAAGAAACGTATCGAGACTTTTTCAGAACTGAACCAATGCAAGGAACAGCCTCAACTCCATCTGCAAGTAATTTCATAGACTGGGCTCCACTGGAAAAGCAAAATTAGCTGTAAACTAATCTTGTATTGACATGTTAAGCATATCAGTATTGGAATCTAAAGAAGTTAAGTCTTTGGATCAATAAAAGTCCATTTTGTCCAAATGTAGCTTCAGTTGGTTTTTCCATAACCAGTTATTTGCACTTTAGAGATTTGCACAGGGAGGATTTTGAGACATCCAAATTTAGCATGCAAGAAAGGACAAATATAGCTAAATATCATCAGCATACTAGCAGCAAATAGTTCTGAAACCACATATGATCCTTTCTTATGATTTCTTAAATCAATTACTGTGAGATCGTATTTTCAGGGCCATTTTTCAGAGGGGCAGACAGAATTGATAGTAAAGCCATTTCAAAGGGGTGCCAAATAAGTCAAGTATTGGTGAAAATGCTAGACTGAGGGGAAGAATTGGAAACAGAGAGAAGGAAAAGAGAAGAAATGAAGCATGAATGGTATGTAGTTCTGTGTGTTTTGTATACTACAGGAAAGATAATGACTCAATTTCCATAGTAATCAAAAAGTTAAAAGGATGTCATTGGCCAGGTTACTGTAATCCCCTACGTTTTAGTTATAAATTCAAAGCAAGTGAACAGCCAATATCCAGGAAAAGCCAATACTTGGGCTCCTGGATTTTCAATAAGCGAGCATGAGGAAGCCAAAAGGTGGTTTCAGTGCAACAGACATATATGTATTGACAACTTCATAAAAATGTTGTAGTTTTGTATCCTGATGTCTGGTGCAAGTATGTAAGTCATGGCATTTGTGTGATTAACATTGTCCTCAAAATTAATCACTCAGCTGTGCCCACCTCCAAGATACCAAAAGTGGAAGAAGGTTCCACAGTTCATAGTTTGCCATGTCATATACATACATACATACATATATACACACACACACTCACACACACACACACATCTCCCACCTTTATTCTTTTTACAAAAATAGATATAAAACACATATATATATATATATATAAAACACACACACACACACACATACACACAGAGACATATATATGTATGTATGTATGTATGTGTGTGTGTGTGTGTGTGTATATATATATATATATATATATATAGAGAGAGAGAGAGAGAGAGAGAGAGAGAGAGAGAGAGAGAGAGAGAGAGAGAGAGGGAGGTTGTTCTAGGAGAGAGGGGGGGGGGAGAGAGAGAGAGAGAGAGAGAGGTTGTTCTAGGAAAGGGTTGCAAGGAATAGTTATGGACTCCAAGCACAATTAAAGCTGCATGGAATCCTATAGATATTTTGGATGTAGCGCAACAACATTATGGGAATTTGATTGCTATATTTTTAAAGTTCTCACTTGTAACAATCTAATGGCAGGCAAGCTAGCTGCATATCATTATAATAAATTGGAAGTAGTTTGTATGTACAATTGCAGCCAGTTGCTTAGACTCAAAGAGCTGAGAAATCAACTCTGTGCCTCTAAGAGAAATTTAGATTTCTCTTTCTTGAAACTTATTTCTCTCCTTCCTCTTTTCTCTGTCCTTGTCAATCAAGGTGAACAACTAGAAACAATGGTATCAGCAGAAAAGTATGCAGTGTTGGGATCAGCAGTTCAAAAGATGGTGGTGAGCTTAGAGTTCCCACAATACGTTTCACAGTCCTTGGTGAATGTGAAGCTGTTCTTCAGATTGTTGTAATGAGAAACCTTGTTGTAGTTTAATAATTAATACACTTCTGGGGGAACAAATCATACAAGCAGTTCCTTTGAATTATTTCTTCTGCAGTTTATTGTTGAAATCAAAAAATTTTCAGTTTACTTTTTTAAAATTAAATTGAAAAGTGTATCTTGTCAACAGAAAATGAAAAATAATTTAATATTCAAAATGTTCCTCTATTCTTGATGGCTGGGGGAACAAATCACACAAGCAGTTCCTTTGAATTGTTTCTTCTGCAGTTTATTGTTGAAATCAAACAATTTTCAGTTTAATTTTTTTAATTAAACAGCACTGAAAAAAGTGACTTATGACTGTTTTTCACATTTACAACTGTTACCACAACCCCATGGTCCCGTGATCAAAATTTGGATGCCTGGCAAGTGGCATGTATTTATGGTAGTTATACTGTCCCGGGGTCATGAGATAAGCTTTTGTGACCTTCTGACAAGTAAAGTCAGTGGAGAAGCCAGATTCCACTTAACAACCGTGTTACTAACTTAACAACTACAGTGATTCACTTAACAATTGTGGCAAGAAAAGTCATAAAATGTGTTAAAACTCACTTAACAACTGTCTTGCTTAGCAACAGAAATTTGGGCATTCAAATGTGGTTGTATGTCAAGGACGACCTCTATGATAAATGTCAATAAATATAACCCTTAGAAACAAAAGCTTTTGGGGGGTCCTCCATACACTTTAAAAGAAGGAAGGGGTCCTGAGAGAAAACAGTTTAAGAAACCCTGATGTACCTTATGATATAAATAAGAAGAAACAATGAATTTGGGGTATTTCTGCTGAGTCCTGAGATTTGTTAATTAGATTGGTGTTTATTCAATCATTATATAAGCTCAGTGCTGACTGTAAGGCCTTCTAAAAGTATGTTTAAAATATGTATAAACTAAGATTATTAAGAAACTGGATGTCTAGGATCCCATTCTGAGCTCACAGAAGTACAAACTACTGATTCTACCCAGCAGTTCTGAGAATGTGAGTTGCAAATAAATAGTCCTCTATATTGAATGCTGATTCTGTACTTTCTCTCCCTGTTATCCCACCTCACTCTCCATACATTTCCTCTGTCTTTCTCTCACCACAGAAACAAGTGTTGAAGGAAATCTATCCAAGGAATTTCCAAACTCTTCTGTGATGCAACCTTCAACTCCAATAACACAGGTAAAGAGCAACAAAGTCAGAGCGCCCTGATTTTACCACCAATAATTCTTTGTACACATCAAAACGTATTTGTGTAGCACATGAGAATAAAGATAGTCTTCGGGTTATGATAGCAATTGGAGCAGAATTTCCATTGCTAAGTAGTATAGTTGTAAAACACATTCTTTGCATCGCTTAGCAATGACAGTTGCTCCGGATTATGTAGGTGGTTAAGAGGTAAGGGGCAGGAATCCCAGGCAAGGAGCAGGGTGGGTGGCTAGGTAGGTGCTGCAGGTGGATGCTGTGGGGAGGTGACACAGGGCATGGGCCAGCTGGGGGAGGGGTGCAGACAGATTGACAGGGGCCATTGGTGATAACCTTTGAATGTGGGCAAGCTGCAGGGGCTGCAGGCAGTTGGCAGGAGCCACAGGGCAATGCTTTTGAATGCAGGCAGGATGGCAGGGGCTGTGAGCAGGTAATTCTGAGCATATGTGGGACAGCAGGGACTGCAGACAGGCACTACAGAGCATGGGTGGGCTGGTGGGGGCCACCACAAAGCAGGTACTACAGAGTAAGATTGTAAATGGTGATCACATGACTGCAGCTCATTCTGACATCATAATTGCGAGACAGGCACTCAAGCACCCAGATCACAATCACATGACCATGGGGGATGCTGCAAAGGCCACAATTTCATAAACTGGTTGTAAACCCATCTCATTCAGCACTGGTATATTCTTGAACAATCACTGACTGAATAGTGGTCATAACTAGAGGACAATCTGTATAATTTGTGCAATATTTTAAGTAATAATTATGCTATTGTACAAATGATACATAATACTTAATGACAATATATAAGGAATAATAAATCATACAGACATAGATACGGTAGCAGAGTGCACTCAGTTATATTTTAAACTTTGTATATATATTTCATATTTCCATTAGAGCAGTTTTCTGATTTTTCAGCTGACAATTTTCCTTACATTCTTTTTTTCCTAAATTTTATTTATTCTTAATATTCAAGTCACCACAGCTTTAAATGTACATATCCTTAACATTTACATAAATAGATCTCATATTGCCCATTACACTGTTATTTTTATTCATGACTGAAATAAATATATTGTTCTTGTTTTTTCAACACTTGGTTAATTTGTTTGTTTTGAGCAAATAATACCAAATGATGACAATAATCTCGGCTTGCAAAGGAAACCAGTCCAGTGAAAAGTTGGTATGTTGCTGCCTGTTTCCACCACTTCAGAGAAGTGGCTTCATTGAAAGCTCCATTATTAAATATGTCCTGTATAAATAGTTCCTCACCTAGCATATTATGTTTAATATAACTGGTGTCGTGACAATAGTAATCTGGAGTTGATAGTATGAAATTAGTAGTTGATCCTACCACTATTGCTTGCAGATTAATGTTTTGATTAGATTTTTTTTGTTTCTTCAGCATCTTGAAGTCCCTTCCAAATGACAACAGTATCTTTGCAATGTAGTATCCATTTCTCCAAAAAATTTCTAAGGCTATGGTGGTATACAGTTAATCCTTGGTTGACGATTGCAATTGGGACCAGAATTTCCATTGCTAAGTGATGCAGTTGTAAAGTGTGACATCACATGTCCACATCATTTGATAACAGCAACCCAGGCAGTCCTCATTGCCATTGTTAACCAAATCCCACTGGTTGTTAAAAGAGGACCCACCCCGATACAAGCCATTCCCAGCTTGCTCCCTCCAAGCCCGGAGCCCCAATAAAGTAAGGGTCTGCCTTCTCTTGAACTCTCCCCACCTGCCTACCACCAGCACCCCATCTCAGTCAAAGATCGAATGAAAGAAATTGAAAAAATACATGTACCAAAATGGAATCAAATTAGCAGCAAAACTTTGGCTAAAACAGTTAAGAAGTTGTTAAAATTATTCCAACTGAAACATTGGCCAAATGAACCGATTGATGTATGCCATAGTTATGCAACTACTGAGGAATTGGGGCTTCACGTACAAAAGAATGAGGTTATTAAGAAAGGAAAACCTAATTGGTACATGCAAATAGAGTTGAAAATAAAGAAAATTTGCCCAAACATGAGCAATTTAAAGAATTTGAAGCAAGGAACCTTGAAAAAAAAAATCAAAACTGTGTGAGGGTGTGTGTGTGAAGTACAACCTGGACGGTAAAGGAATTTCAGAGGGTGTAGAACAATTGAGAGAAAGAGTCATCGCTATTGCAGGGAAGATCACATAATATGAAAACCAAATAATTCAATTCCTGCAGATTTTGCAATTTAGAGCAAATCAATATAAATTCTACAAAACCCTTGAAAAAGGGAAAGGACTAACTGCAAATAAGCCTGACAAAGAAGAAACCCTAAAATTTTGGAAATGTTTGTACGAAAACAATAGGAATACAACATGGATCAAGCAAGTTGAACATGCAGTGGAAGTTGTCAATATGGAAAACATTAGGGTAATTGAGGAAATGGTATGAAAGCAATCAGAAGGTAAAAACTGGAATGCTCCTGGAGCAGATGAGTTGCATGGATTCTGGCTCATCTACACTTGAGGTTGGCAGACCAGATGAATAGGGTTTTGGAAGCATCAAAAACCAGAAAATGGCTAAACAATTACAAGGACATTCTTAATTCTAAGGAGAAGGGGAAAGAATCTGAAAACTATAGATCCATAGCCTGTCTGCTAACAAATACAAGCTATTTATGGGCATAATTGCAAAACAAGTTGACAGCTATTTGAAAAGTAATGATTTATTCCCTATAGATCAGTGGTTCTCAACCTGTGGGTCGGGACCCCATTTGGGGTCGAACAACCATTTCACGGGGGTCGCCAAACAACGCAGTCCGCCATTTTTTCCCCCTTTTCCTTAGCTGCGCTACTCCGTTTTATTCTATTGGCTTTTGAAAGCCAATAGAATAGACTCTCTTGAAGAGAGTCTAATTCTATTGGCTTTCAAAAGCCAATAGGAATTGTCCAGGCTGTCTCTGCCTTGCTGAGCCCGCCCAAAGTCCCATTCTGCAAACGGTGCTGCACCAGTTGAGTAGTCCTCAACTTACGACCGGTTGAGTAGTCCTCGACTTACGACCGGTTGGGGGTCGCGGCATTAAAAAGGTTGAGAACCACTGCTATAGAGCAAAAAGGATGCTGCAGAAGTTTTAGAGAACAAAGGACCAGTTATTAATTGATAAGCTGGTTTTAAACAATTAAAAAAAAACCATAAAATTGTTCATTGCTTGGAATAGACAATAAAAAGGCATTCAATTCTGTTTCACAAAGCTGGATTGAGAAATATCAGTAGAAACATTCATCAATTTGTGAATACTTTCGTGAAGTTTTGATGAACAAAGCTGACAAATAAAGGTGAAAAATTAGGGGAAATTTTCCAAGGTGACTCATTATCAGCTTTACTGTAAAGTATCAATGGCCTTACTGATGGCAGTTTTGAATAAGACAAACTATGGATATGAATTGGCAAAAAAGAAGTACAAATTTCATATTTACTCTGAATGAATGATTTAAAATTATCTGGAAAAACAAAGGTTGAACTAGATTCTTTATTAAAAAACACAAAAGACTTAAGAAAAGATATTGGTGTGTACTTTGGCATTGAGAATTATGTGACCATAGCCACAAGGGCAGACAAAATTGTTGAGGATGATGGAATACAGCTTAGCAATGAAGATTTGATTAAGACAGTAGCAGAAGAAGGCTACAAATATCTGGGAATTTTGGAAGCTTCCAATTTATTCAGAATCAAGTAAAAGAAAATACTTCTTCCAAATATATCAAATGTGTTTAGAAAATGGTGGAATCACAGCTAAATGGTGGAAACATTATTAAAGCAATTAATGCCTTGGCAATTCTCTGTTATTCAATATAGAAGCAAGAATAGTTGACTGGACCTAGATAAAATTTGATAGCTTGGATTGGGAGGCAAGAAAACTAATCACAGTGCACCATGCTTTGGATCCAAAGAGTGATATTGATTGGCTGCATTTGCCAAGAGCTGAAGGGGTTAGAGGACTCTTACAGGTGAAACAAACTTACTTGAAACAACAAAGGTGAAAGATTTTGTGAGGCTGAATATAGAAAAGAAACAAAACTGATCTGTTAATTGAAAGAACAAACCAATGCCTGGCTAATATTTGAAGGATATAGAAGCAAAAGTCAATAAAAAAAATCCATGTGCGGTTGGTTAAGATCAGGAGCATTATAAAATGAAGGCTTTATTTTAACAACTCAAGAACATGCTTTGCCAACTAATAGCATGAAGGCAAAAATTCAACATGTAACAAACAACAGCAAATATCATCTTTGTATTGAAAAAGATGAAACAGTTGACCATTTGATCAGTGGCTGCAGCAAAAATTTTAAAATTGACTACAAAGCAGCATCATGACTGAATTGCCAGAATTCATTAGAGACCTTGCCAAGAGTTTGGATCTTAATGGAGAAAAAAAACTACAGGGATCATCAAGTTGAGAAAATTTTGGAAATTTTAAGATCTTATGGGATTTTAAGATTCAAACAGACAGGCATCTTGTTCATAACATGCCTGTCTAATATTGAAAAGAAGAAAGTCTGATTAATTGATGCTCTATTTCAGGTGATTGAGGAAAAACAATTGGAAAAAGTTACAAAATACTGGGACTTACAGGTTGAAGTTGAATTCTTATGGAAAAAGAAATCTCTTGTTATATCAATTGTGACTGGAGTGCTCAGAGCAGTACCAAAAGAGCTTTCTCAATATTGGGAAATACTGAATTTATCAGACCTGAATACCTTAATTTTACAAAAAAACCCCATCTTGCTTGAAACTGCCTACATTCTTAGATGCTACGGTACCTTAATAATTCTTAGGTCCTTGATTAGGACTTGTGTTATTAAATTTCCACCAAACTTTCTTCACTCACACATCTTAGAATAATGCCTCCAGTGAGGCACAATCTTAACATGGTTATGGGGCTTGCATGCTCTACAGAGAATAAGAGCTACAATAGAGCTTCAACCATACCGAACCAGTCTCATCAGAGGAGCTACACAAAGAGGGCTTCTCCCAATAACAATATGGTGAGATGTGATTTATAGATACCTATACTGGATTGATTGTTGCCTAGGTCAACAAGGGCATGCTAGGTGTTGGTGTTCCTGGATATCTGATAAAAAATGGGGACTGGAAACTAAAACAAATGAAGAATGTTTGCAGGAATTGGGTATGTCTAGTTTAATGAAAAGAAGGACTCGGGATGACATGATAGCAGTCTTCCAATATTTATGGGGCTGCCGCAAAGAAGAGGAGGTTAACTTATTTTTCAAAGCACCTGAAGGCAGGACAGGAAACAATGGAGGGAAACTAATCAAGGAGAGAAGCAACTAAGGGAAAATTTCCTGGCAATTAGAACAATTAATCATTGGAATGATTTGCCTCCAGAAGTTGTGGGTGCTTCAACACTGGAGGTTTTTAAGAAAAGATTAGACAGCCATTTTTCTGAAATGGTATAGGGTTTCCTGCCTGATCAGGGGGCTGGACTAGAAGACCTCCAACGTTCTTTCCAAATCTATTATTCTGTTAAATGATCTGCAGCAGGGGTGTCAAACTTGCAACTTTACATGATATATCGTGACATATCGTGACTTTTTTTCCATTGTCAGCAATGGGGTGGGCGCGGTTTCGTCATGATGCATAGGGCCCGTGGGCCGGCAGTTTGACACCCCTGATCTACAGCAAGGGTCCCCCAATCTGGGCCGCAGCACTTGCAGGCCCACCCGCACAAGCGATGGGCACACACACACAGCACTCACACAAATGAAGCTGTGTGCATTCCTACCCCTCGCACAAAACCTGTCCCTTTTTGCCCCATCCCCTGCACCAGGCCACCAACTCGGAAATGTTGAGGAATGCTGTTCTACAGGACTCAGAACTGTTGGTTGAGCACCCAGAGCCAGCAGCTGCAGGATTACTGGAAGAAAAATTATATGCCCATTGCAAATATAAGAAGACTAAAACAAAGAAATGATAAAATAATTTGTAATCTGTTATTGAAACAAAAAATAACTGAGCATCTAGAACAACACAAAAACAATAGAATAAATTAGCCTGCATTGTTACAAAGAAACAATAAGCACAAATATTAAAAGATGTCATTAGCGCAATATCAAATATAAGCATTAACTTGCTGCAAGAAACAAACCAACTAATGCATGGCATGCCTGCAGTTATAACTAAATATCTTGGATGCAAAATGAACAAAGAACGAAAGTGCACCACCAAAATGGAAGACCAGATTGGAAAATAAGATCAGCATGCTAAGATCAGGTGCAATCAGTCTAGAAGAGAAGGAAGAAAAGAAGCTGAGGAATAAAATCAAAGAATATCCGATCAAAAAATATCACCTAGAAAAAAGAAGGTCAAAGAAGCACTGCAAATAATAAAACAGTAAATAATAGCTACAGCTGATATAAAGCTTGAATTGTATTTTACTGGTAGTCCACAGCAGTCCAGAGCTCATGTTAAGGAAACAGAGCAAGCCATTCCATTTCTGAGCTGCATGATGAAAATCCAGAAGCAGCTGCCAGTTTTTGGAATCTCCACAACTCAATGTGAGCACTCTGAAAATGGTGGCTGTATCTGGGATCACCCATGAGACTCAGGCACAGAGTGGCTTGTTCTACATCCTTAATGTGAGCTCCAGAAAACTCTGCAGCAGTCCACCCCAGTCCAGAGCTTGTGTTACGGAAGCAGGCCAAGCCTTTCCTATTCCTGAGTCACATAATGCAATACCAGAAGCAGCCGCCATTTTCAGAGTGCCCACAATTCAGTGCAGCCCTCCCCAAAATGGAGACAGCTTCCAGGATCCCACCATGCAGTCCTGGAGTGGAGTGGCCTGCCCTCCTTCCATAGCCTGAGCTCTGGAGATCTTTGAAAGGTATGTGAGGAGAAGGGTATGGGGTCAGGTGGAATGGGAAGCAGGTTCAGGACCTGCAGGCACCCAGTGGGGGAATGGGGGGGGGGATAGAGGCAGAGAGGGCACTGCTGCATCCCTGTGGTTGGTCATAAGGGCAGCAGCATTTACTTCAGGACTGGGTCATAAGCAGCTTTTGGGGAAGTCCACTGTAACTTCAAACGATTCAATTAAAATAATTTTATTGTATTTTAAACAAAAGTAATATTTTTTAGATTTTGAAAACTAGGTTTAATTGTTTTTTAAAATACAAATATTTTAAAAATTCTTACATCAATGCTCTGAAGATGCAACCTACTACATAATTCTAAAACTTAGAATAACAGAATTGGAAGGGACAATTGTAGTCCAATCCCCTGCTCAAGAAGGAGATCCTATACCAGAGGTAGGCAACCTTGGCTCTTTTATGACTCGTGGACTTCAACTCCCAGAATTCCTGAGCCAGCCATGCTGAGGGGAAAGGGAGAGGTTTCCAAGCTGAGCCAGGCTGTCTCAGGTATTCTGGGAGTTGAAGTCCACGAGTCATAAAAGAGCCAAGGTTGCCTACCCCTGCCCTATACCATTTCTGACAAGTGGCTGTCCAGTCTCTTCTTGAAAGCTCCAGTGATGAAACACCCACAACCTCTGAACTTCAACAATATCATTTCTTTCTAGTAAGAGTTCTTCACAGCATTCTTTTTTATTGATTTGATATTGATTGACCAATTCATATTCATAGCTCATCCCAATTAATTTACAATGTAGCAAACAGCTCCAAAGGGCGGTGTATTTGAAAAACTGTTATGTATTTAGATCATTTGTTACCATTCTGCAGGTTAGGCCATTTAAAAAATACATTTGTTTTCTCACTGGGGGATTAATGTTTTTATTTTTTTTTCTGGACATTTTCATATGAAACACTAAATTGTTTTTTTTTTCTTATTTCTAATGAAGTCATTCTGGTTTGTATTTTATAATTTTGAATTACTAATTTTAACATCATAGTACAGTACATAATGCTAATGTGCTACAAATAGTTACTTCTTATTTGTTATCTTTATCCCAAATCTCTGGAAGAATATTTATAATAAAATTGATGTTCTCATAATACATCATATATAGTTTGACTACTATCCTGTTGCTTAACATAACTATCTTAATCAACATTGCCTTGTAGAAATATATGATGTCCATTCATTTAAGCAGTACGTTCTGAGGAGAAATAAGTATACTTAAAATGAATGTATTATTAACTCTATAAGCAGTTTTTATTTCCCCATGGTTCTTGCTAAAATGTAATCTTTTTAATCCTAAAAATTAACACTTTTAATACAGACTAAGAATAAAATTTTTAATAAGATTGGGATCCTGAAACCTGTGGGCTGTATCTAATCCAAAATTTTTGTAGCCTCCTCCACCTTCAGTCATGAGCTACCAAATCTTGGCAGCAAACAATTGTTACATAGTGGTTAAAATTGCAGAGTTAGACAGGGATGAACCAGGTTTGATAATTGAAGCTTATTGGGTGATTTTGGCCTTTCACTTTCTTTTGATTCATACTTCTCACAGGATAACATTGTGATCCTACCAATGTATGCTACCTTGAGCACACAGAAGAAATGGGTGTTAAAACGTAATAAATAAAAAAATATAATTTTTCTACTCTTAAAGATGAACAATTAAAAAATAGGTAGTAAAAGAGCTTGAACTTCAGATTTTTATAGGTCTTTTTAGAATAGCTATTGTTCAATTAATTATCGTGTAGACTTTTTCAGACTTACAGCATATTTTACCAAGTAGTGTGCTTGAAATAAAGATTAAATCAATACCTATTGGTACAAATAGAAGTGGAAAGTAAAGTATGTTTCCTCTACAGGCATGCAATTTTGTAGTTGTTATGCCATAACATCTAAGGCAGAGAACGGCACATTCCTTACTCTCCTGATGAAACGTAATGCTCTGTTTCTACCACTCCATAGTTAGCTATGAGCATTCATCATACTGTAAATAAATGTATTATTTTGCTACTCCTTTTTCACATTCTGTCTATTTTTTCTGCTTTTTCTTTCACGGCCTAGATTCCTGAACTCACAATCACTACTAACTCACCAGAAAAGAAGGACCCTTCTAAAGATCATCTTGTAGATTTTACTGATTCCCCACAGGGACATGCCATCAGGGTCCACACTACATCTCATGAGGAGCTGAAAGTGCCATGGGGTTTCATGCTAGGTACTGAAACCCATTCCTTGGGACAGTGGGATGCTCCTGAATTCAGCAAGTGTGACCTCACCACAGAGGGCTCTTTCATGGAAGAATGCATGGAGGAACAGTTGAGAAGATACCAAGAGATGCCCCATCGCTTGGAGGAAGATGCCATAGATAGAGAACTGGAACAGCTTTACTTGTCCCATCTGAGCCGGCTTCGAGCAGAGGAGCTTGGAGGAAGAGGAGAGTGGTCTGAGGAGACCTCAGGCAGCAACACCAGTCCTGTACCATCTCTCATTACATTGCGTCAGAATGTCTTGACTGATCGTGACTTGATAGTCAACTGGACAGGCCCAGAGAGAGCACTCAACAGTTCCCTGGCAAAAGAGATCACACTGTACTATGCTAAGCAACGGGGCGATGACTGCAGAGATAGTGAGGAGGAGGGAATTATGGCAGGATATGCAACACAGGGACCACCTGAGGTGGTTGGACCAGGCCGTGATAGCCCACCGGTCTTACTAGAAGGCTGCTTTCTAAATCATCTGGAAGAGGGAAATCTCCAACAGAGTCCAATGAAGGACTCTGACTCCTTTCCCTTGAGAGTGGTGGCACCCAACATGTTGAGGCCGGTAATTCCAGAGGCTATGGTGATGCCCCTTGTAGTTCCAGCCCGGACACTAGTGCCCCTACCAAAGTGGCCCACAGACCTGCCATCCAGCCCTCTTGATGCCCATGGACAAGGCAGGTGCCAGGGCTTCTTGATCGGGCATGGCAGCCTCTGGCTGGGTGAGGGCCTTCATGTCCACAAGCCCTCAGAAACCAATCCCGTTCCTCATAATGAACTTGAAAAGATCTTGACACGCTCCCTGCGGTTCCTCAGCCTCTTTGTCTTCCTTCCCGTGGTTTTCAACAGCTGCATGCCTTTGGTGGCCGTTACACTTTACCTCCTTTTGGATTGGTTCTCATAATTGGTATGACTCTCAGAAGTGCCAAAAGGCCCTTGAGAAGATCTGTAACTTGGCTCTATTCCTGTTTCACCTGATCAACTAAAAATTTGGCAGTAGTGTCAGATCTTTTTAGAGTTAATAGCACATCCATTCTAAATTTCCCAAGGTTCAGAACTATTTATTTTTATTAAATCATCTGGTATAAGATATGAATTGCTTGGACAATAAAAATGAGCTATATGTAAAACTTGCCATGAATTGGATCTGAGATAGCATTTGCAAGACCCAGAGGAGGTGAGAGAGGGCTCAAAGCCCCAATAGCCCTCCCACTCTCCCTTTGCACTGTTCATTCAAGAAAGCTAGAAGCAACAGCATTGTCCATCCTGTCATTTGCAAGTATGGAGAGGCAACTAAGGATGCCTTGTCTAAAGGCCCTCAAATCCTACTCAAAAGAGCCAGAATAATATGTTTCCCTTTTCCACCTCTAGAAACAAAATTCCTTGTTAAGATTTAGTAGACTTTATCTCTGTGTTTTCAGCCTTTCTCTTTCAGGTACTTGGCTGAAATCCAGTTAGCTTACTTATAAGATTAATTTATTTCCAATTTGGGAATGAGGCAAGCATTTCCTAAAAGGACCATATTCTTTGATATTTTTACAGATACATGCTTTTAGCAGGCTTTGACTGTAACTTGTTACAAAGCAAAACATTAATATTAAGGGATAATTTCAGACTATTTTAGAGTCTTAACAAATTAAACGTTTACATTTTTAGGGGAAAAAAGTCAAAATGGCCCATGTAAAACTTCTTAAGATAGAACGTTTTATTTAAGTACTGTCTGACCATTCTCTATAAAATATTAGTGCAACGTTTGGTAACTAAATTCCTAGTACAGTAAGTCTGAGGAGCCTCTGTTTTTATTATATTACAAAATACCAACCTGTTCTGTGTAAGAGATTTGGAGAAATCAACTAGCTAGCTCAGTTTCTATCTTGCTTTTCTCATGGGCAAATACAAATGATTACTAATTAAGTGAATTCTGCATTAACAAACAAACAAAAATCCCATTGAGTTAAAAATGGCCCCACACCTAGTGCTAATCTGTTGTGGAAGTTCCCTTGGCTCTTTGGGAAAGAATGCAGGCTTAGACCTGAATAGACTACCATGTGACATAGCAGTCTATCAACGTGAAAAAGACTAATTAATAGATGACCCCTAATCCCCATTTATTTTTTACGAGGCTGGGAAATTGTAAATATGTTTTGAAAATATCATGAAGCACTTTCTTTCAGAATGTTCTCCTGTGCCAGCCTCAGTGAATTTAACAAGAAAAGTCCAAAGGCAAAATAGCACTTTTGTTGAGCACCTGATTTCAGAAGGATTTGTGCAATCCTGGATTGTGCTCCACGTTTCCGTAATTTCCCATTATTTGAATGAAACAGGGAGACAGACAGAAGTTTTCCATTCCAAAGAAGATGACAGCATTTTCAGTTTATTGTCCGTACAGCTTCTGCAAAATACAATCAGAACCATTCCAGATGGCCTCAACAATCGCACAGCCAAGTTCCATTCATGCCCCAATCCTGAGCCATACCCAGCTTCTTAGGAAGAACTTTGGACTGCTGACTGTCTGTGCTTCTAGGACCCCTTTTCACTCCTGGATCCTATACTTCTCTGCCACTAGCAAGGTCCAACACAGAGGACTACAGGAAAGCTCCCTAAAACAGATGGCCCCTTATTTATTTTTGTACCTGGTGGGAAGGCTGACTTTTTCTACCGTAGAATTCATCCCAAGATAGAGATTTTATTTATTAACAACTAGCAGTACAAACCCAGGCTGGTGGGTTTGCAGAAGATTAAAATAATTTATATATACATGTTTGATGTCTGCAGCAAAGGAGTAGATTGGAAACATCCTGTGTCTTTATGTGCAATAGGTTGAAATGGCACTGAACTTGCTGTAAGAAGAAAGCCCACCCACTTTCATGCTGCTAAATGTTTTTCATTAACTTCCTCTTGAATGTTGTACTGTCAGCAGCTGCTGTGATATAGCTTGTGGGGCCTTGTGGAGGAAGTGGAGATATTTGTATGGGTTCTGAAGCCACTTCTGTCTGCTGATCCAGACATGGTCCTGCTTTCCCTATCCATTGGTGAATGCTCTTAACTAAGGAACATGGGGAGGTTTGGAAAGTGGAATACTGTTTGTGCTTCATGAAGAGAGATCTGTCCTGACGTCAGTCGTCATAAGAAAAATCTGCATTTTCCAGATAAAAGCTGAGATCAGAATGTAATTAGCAGTCACGGCTGTGTGTGTGTGTGTGTGTGTGTGAGAGAGAGAGAGAGAGAGAGAATGTACACATACTTTTCTTAATTGTCCTATGGTTACATTTTTTGTTGTCCTAATATTGTTCCTTCTGCCTTATTCAAACTGTCAGATCCTTCATCAGACAAATATGTCTTATACATGTTCCACACCATACAAGTTCTGAAAATTATTTGGTACCTCCACTTGGCTACAAAGCAAGCATTGATTATACTTCATACCTCTGTAGAAACACTTGGTCAAAGCCAAAATCTTCATAAGTGAGCAAGGCTGCCTCTGGTGGCAGATTGTTGAATAACAATGACTACACAATGGGATATAAATATATATCATGGAGTTTTATCCTTCAGAGAGTTCTTCTGCACAACTTGTATTGAAATGCATAATATCTGCATAGAACATTCCTGTGCTTTTGCACAACTGGTCATATAAGTTAACATGTGCAGGAGAATTTATATGTGAGATGTGCTTCATGTTAATAAGAGGTTTCTATGGCTTTGGAGATACCCAAATTCAAAGTATTTTGGATTAGCTCTTGTAAAGCCAAGCTTAATTTAGTACTTTTACTTTATATTGTTTTTGTTAATTTTCAGCATTCAGCTGGCCAATTTAGAGTACAGTAATTTCAAGGTTCTCCATCTGCATCTAGGAAGCTAGAGTTTGTGGAAGAAAGTTATACTAGATTCTTCCTTACTTTTAAATGAATTATGTTCAGTAATATGAACTCCTACCTTCAAGTTCAAGGTTGTGTACTTTAAACATAGTGTCAATAAGAGCTAGATTTCAGGTTGTTATAAAAAATCATCTCTATAACCACTGTTGTGTATCTGCATTAATGTATAAATCTTTGCTCCCACTGGATCCTGTATACTAACTCTTCAACAACATTATTATAGAAAAATCAGTGGTTTCACTTCTCTGAGCAGCAATAATAAAATGTAATTCAGAGGAGATAGGAAGTTTGGGTAATCTTTATAATTAATGTTGAAACTAAATAGATGTAAGAGTGCACCAATATAATTGTATGCAACAGGTTAGCATGTGTAATAATTACAGCTACTGTTTGTACTACATTAACAAGGTACACATTTTTTCCGGGTCATGAAAAATACAAGCCAGGAACAACTAGGTAGAGCCAAATTCATAACTCCTTCCATTTATGCACAGGACCCCATTATATTTCCAATGTTATATTTGCAAAAATCCAGGTGATTTTCAGAACAACATTATATTCTAGTCTAGTATACTACAGCAGGAACAAATATGAATCCTATGATATCCTGAACGCTTACATCTAATATAGCATAGATTTTTGTGGATAATAGTCCACGTTGTTAGATATCTGGAATAGAGACAAGAGTACTATATATTCACAGCCAGTTGGAAGAATAGGTTAATGGAGTTGGTAGAAAGAAAGGTCAGAAACATTGAAAACTATCTGTAGATACTGGCCAATAATTCAAAAATTATCAGTAATTTAACAAAAGATCAACGGTTTTATTACACATTACACTGCATGTGTTAAGCTCATCAGTGTAAGAATAACTACCACGTTCAACAGTTTTGTTAATGGTCAAAGAGTTATTTATTTATTTATTTATTTGTTTGTTTATTATTTGCAAAGTTAAACTAACTGGAGATAGATTTTGGAATTATTTTAAAATGATCAGATAAGTGGTTGCGATAGCCCAGAGGTCTAATTTATTAGAGATGAGAGGGCGATTTATTTGATCCTTTTTGTGGCTAGCTTTTTAGGCTGTGCTGACCTCTTCTTGTAGTATAGCAGCTGGTTCTATCCAGTAGTCTTATCTTGATGCAAATTGACTTATGCATGCAGAATGCATTGTGGAGATTTCACTTTGGCCACTGGTATTTGTGGCTTTATCCATAAGAGACTTATTTTCTGTGAACAGACGGAATCCATGCAGGTGGGGTGGGGTGGGGGAATAAGCTGTGCAGGTTGAATTAGTATCAAGCTGTGGATTTATGAATGAGAAATCATGCCTGTTCAGCCCTTGAAACTTAGCTTGCTGGAGAACACTAAAGAAGAGAATTGGCAGTGGTACATTTGTCTGTGATTTAAAAGCAACAACTCTGCATTCTTTCTTCAATTTTGCAATCACTCCATGGTGTGGAATTAGATTACAATCCCAGAAGCCTTATTTGTTTTGAGCAGCCTTCCCCCAAGATAGAGCCCTCTAGATGTCTTGGACTCCATCTTCTAGATTGAGGCTGCTGCCTTTGATCATGTTCCTCAGCCAGGTCTTTTGCTATGGAAAAAGATCTGTGCATGGCAGACTATAGGGAGCATGGCAGGGTTATGTATCTGCTACTGTAGAGCAAGGAATTGGATGGGATTTGTGGGTGTGGGTGTGGGTGTGTTTACATGTGTATGTGTGTACATCCTTTTGAGCTGTGCCTGCTTCAGAAGCACTAATAAACATCCTGACTATAGCACTTGTGTCCTTGGGATTTTTTTGGAAACTGCAACAAACGGTATGGATAACTGCTACCTGCCCTCCTGTGATTATTTGGAAGCTGCAGCCCTCCCAAGTATTTGCCTCCATATTCCCCTTTTCCTTCTTTTGATTCAGTTAATGACTCAAGGATATTACTTCAAAGAGACTGTCCTTCCCCAATAGATGATATGCACTGAAGCCTAAATTAGTTTAACTGTTGGTATTATGCAATAGTTTTAACTTTGCCCCAAGTTCTTCAAAAGACTCCTGGCAGGAGGAATACCTAGCCAAGCAAATCTGACATTCTACCTCGGGAAAGGGCAGGAAATTTGGGGTCCTCCCAATGTTGCTGATTCTGAACATGGTTAACATGGCCAGTAATAAAGGATGCTGGGATTCAGTGATACTTGGAATTCATGAATTTCAGGAGAAAAATAGAGAAATATGGTATTTGGTAATACAGTACAATTCAATATGCCTGAAAATACATAGTTGCTAGTTTAAACTGACTCTTGCAAAAAGCATTGAACTTGGCTAAGAAAGGAGTGTTTATTAATATCTAAGAACATGACAATCTGTTTAGTAAACAATACAGACATTAATGCTCAACTCTGACAGTGTGAGAAGTCAATCCAAATAGGCAAAGTAACAATTTATTTGAGCATGTGTAGAATTTTTTTCTTCTACAATGTTTGGAAAAATTAGGCTTTGTGTGTATGGTCTTCACTCCCTTTGGGATGCTCCATCTAGAAACAATTGATTAGAAGCAAAATATCACAGCAAATAAATGCTTTACAGAAAGTTATTAAATAAATCACCAATGAAGGCTGGGAAATTTCAGCCAGTACAAGGAGTATAAGACTATTTTATGACTGCAAAATATCCAGGTTTATGGGTGTGCAAGTCATTGAATTTATTTTGCAGAAGACTGCTGCTCTGGTTAGTTTGCAATCAACATATTTTACTTTACAAAAGAACATTAGCTACATGCAGCCCCTTAGGCCAGATCTTGTTTCTCCTTTCATGTCTCTCCTAGTTGAGAGGTAGACAATCCAAAGTGGTGCCTTGAACAAATAATAGGATGACAGCCAATCCAGATGAGGCAAAGCAATAGTAATCAGAACTGAAACAAAACAAAGGCCTGTCCAATATTCTGTTTTTCACAGTGGATAAGGAGATATTTTTGGAAAGCCTGTAAGACAGACACATTTCCAGCAATGTAATATTCTATAATACATTACTTATGAGCTTAGAAATAGCAGACAGAACATACAGTTAGCAGCTATTAATAGCTTTATTCTTCATGAAATTGTCAAAGTCATGTAAACCAGTAGCTGTCATTCAATTGCATAGCATTTGTGGCACAGCATTCTGAGACAGTTAGAGCAGCTGTTTGAAGCTATGGAGATGAGCAGCCTATCAAGAAGAGGACCATGGTCACTAGTTGAAGAACATAGGGCGGATAAAGGAGCATCACTGCAGAGAACTGGCCAGAAGAATATTATTGGATCCTAGCAGCCCATATTAAGGTATATAATCTAAAGAATCAATTTCAAAATGCTAGTTGTTAAGGCTGTTAAGCTACCTGGGATGCTTTCAATATTTTCATGGATGGAGTGGCATTTCCCAAAAAGAAACAGTGTCAAGGCATGGAAACATTTCAATGTCCAATTTTACTACTGGAAACAGTAAAAGTGATATTCTATCTATAATTAAGCCCAATGATGGCGACACACTATTACATTTTGGGTAATGTGATAATGTTCACCAATACCCGACAATAACCATTCTTGAAAGCACACCCTATTCTCACGCAATTTTCAGTGGCTGTACAGGCCGTGTGAGAATGGGGTGTGCTCTTGTGCAGCCTCTGGCTATTGCGCTGCCTCCAGAGCTGCTGGGAATCATGTGAGAATGGGGTATGTTTTCACAGTTTTGAGAGATGACAGAGGCTGTGGATATTTTCTGAAGCTGTTTCAAGAATGAAGGCCTTGTGCGACCCGGAGCTACCTCAATTTGTCTGCATTTTGTATAAATAAATACATAAATAATTGTTTCTCTTTTGTTCGGTGTGTGTGTGAGAGCGAGACACACACACACACAGACACACTTATCAGCAGAATCAAATTAGCCATTTTTTGAATTTTTGACACACTAAGCCCAAAAGGGTTGTCACCACTGACTTAGATTAAACAAAGATGTCTATGCACTTGATTGCAGCGAATGAACTGGAATGAGACCAAAGTACAGATGCTAGACTTTCAGTTGGGACCAGTGATAGTGTGATGCCCAAATATTGTCACTGGTTATCAGGGCATTCTTGAGCATGATTCAGAGTGTTGAGATGTACATCCATGTCTGCAGCAGAATGCTCGTTGGAACAGTTCTCCAGATCACGCTGACTTTCTAATTCTGGAGACTTAGTTTACACACTATTTCAATCCATTTGGTGCTGGTCAGACCTCATCTGGTATCCTAGGCCTACCTGGAGCACTATACCTAAAAAGGGATTCAGACAAGTTTGGAACAGTTACAGAGAATGTGAACAAAACTCATTATAAGATTGGAAAGTGAATACTAGGGGAAAAGGGAATTGTGTATGCTTAACCTTGTAAAGAAAAAACAGAAAAATTACCCTCCAGAAAACTGCAATATGTTCTCCATCTTCGCAGATTGGGGAATATTGGCCATAAATTACAAGGTAGATTTGGACTGGAAAAAAATGCAATAATAAAAGGTGTTTGACAGTGGGCCCTGTTTATTTTCTAGGTAGATGGTGGATTCCCCTTACAGCCACTGTCAAAAATTATTTAATATGGATTTCTGTACCAAACAAAAGGTTGAACAAAATAGTGTTAAATAACATTTAAACAAAGCAGATAGTTTTATTAGAAATATTGCATGCTAGATGTTGTCTTACTTATTGTGAGCTTCCCTAAGCCATTTTCTTTTACAGTGAATGGTCTACATATTTATAAAATAACTTCTGGAGAAGAGAGCTTTGGATGAGCAGCATTCATAACAAGGCTTTTTTGGGTGGGGCTGAAGCCCTCGTACTTAACCCATCCTCCCTTATCAAAATAGCTTTCTAATAGTTGACCACAGCCTTACAGATACCCCATGGAAAGATTCCTGAAAGTTTTTAAAAATATGCTTTGTGATACGTATCCTTTGTGGCCCCGTGTAATGCAGCACTCTGTACTGTTGTGCACTTGTGAGCATGAGACAGGGAGGAGCTTCTTAAGATTTAATTTGCAGAAGTTTTCCTTCCTATGGTTGACTTGGCAACCGAGTGTTGAAATTGCATTGGAAAGAAGGGCGGTGGGATATAGTATTAAAAGACAGTGAGGGGCCGAGTAAGAGAATTGTATTAAACAAAGTGCGTGGCTTTTATGTCTGTATGGCTTTCTTTTCCGACTCTATATGTTGACCTATTCGACCGTCAGACCCACTTCAGAAGTTTAGAAACGAAGCCCTCGCCTTGAGTCCTCTCTATGCTGATGAATGCCTTATAAAGCCGAATTCCCGGATCTGAGGTTGGCTTTTGTCAAGAATTTCCCAGAGTTCCTCCCCCTACCCCCACCCCCCACCCCAGAGGCGCTTGGTGCTTTCCACCAGCTACTCTTGGTCTTGCAAGTGAAAAAGGATGCTCTCTCCTGGCCAAATCCCTCCCTCCGCCGCTGGGGCCGAAGCTGTCCGGAAATTCCCGAGGCTTCCCTCTCCCGCACCTTCTCACACTCTCACTCACACACGTACAGGCGGGCGCGAGCGCGAGCGCGTCCTCAAACACAGACATACGGGGGGCGCGCGAGCGGGCACGCTTATCTCTGTCCATTGTCCTCCCTGTTAGCTTCCACAGCCATTTCATCCAACGCCGCTTCCTGCAACACGCTGCCCTTTCCTCTTTTCCATGGCAGCCGTCTCGCGGACCTGGACTTCCATCACCACCAATGGCTTCTCCCAATGAAGCCCGGAGATGCTGGGGCCTAAAGTCCTCTCCCCCTCCCATGCTAAAGAATCTTCCGGTAGACGGGACCAAGATGGCTTGACTTCCACTTCGACAGGAGCCGTTGAATGTGGGGTCCTTCCTGGTGGAATCCCATTGAAAAAAATGAATCGATCCACAGCCAATTTTCGAGAGCTGTGAGATTTGAGGACAGACTCGATTGGGGTGTAATGCGATCTGATGCCTTGGTTACCCTGATGAAAGTAATCCCTGGAAGAATTGGTGAGCGCCTGTTTTTTTGACATAAGAATGGATCAGTCTGGATTTTTTTTTGCTTAAACGGAGGGGGTTCCTGCTGGCTGGATTTTAATGGAAATGGACTGATCTAGGTGGGACCCTGTGGAAGGAAACCTAATAAACTGGATTTTGCTGCTGTCTGTTTGGGGAGTCAGACCAGACCAGCCTGAATTTCACAGAAAAAAAATGATGGAGTAACCTTGGTCCAGACATGGCAAACGGAGCTCAGTTGTTCTGGATGCATCCTTTAAGCTGGTGGCAGACTCTGCTCTCCATCCCCATCAACCCTCCTTCTTCTACACAGCAAGGGCTGATTTTGCCATTCTCCTAAACAGCATCATCGGAAGAAAAAAAAACGGTAAAGGCTTGGATTATTTTCCAGTTCCTTATACCTTATCCAGGTTGACAGTAGAGGGAGGGGGCAGGCTCATGGCCTGCAGGAAGGGAGAGGGGGCGATCCTTTGAAATGGCAGTTTCTCTAGCCCCATTTCTCCCTGGGAGAAGGACTGGCCCTGTCTCCAAGGCAACAGTTCTGGGGCATTCCTAGCCAGCCTCCCTAGATAGGGTGTGAACCCAGAGCTACCAGAACAGGGTAGAGTGGATCGAGAGGCAGGCTCTTTGCTTTCTCTCCCCTTTCCAGTGCCATCCATCTATCTTCATGTACCCTCAGCCAGCCAGTTGGGATAGTATTTCTACCACTCCATTATTATCCAGACTGGAGAAGTGGAGGTGAGCAGGCCCAGTCACCAGAC